GCTTTTTCCAAATACATATACGTAACTATTGGTGGAATTATTTATTTAATGTCTATCACACTACCAGATTATTGAGCACACTAGAGCAAAGACTATGTCTGTGTTGTTTCATTTATATCCCCAACACCTAGCATGGTGCATGGTATATAGCAATAAAAATTTATTGTGCTGGTGAGTGAGTAGCATTAAAATCACTTTTATGGGGGCAAATAATTTTCTAAAATATTGAAGCTATGTGTCATTACTGTAATTTTCATCTGATTAGTGTATTTGAGTAATTAAGAAATAGTTTTTCCTTTGGGTCTACAGATTCACAGAAGAAAATTCAACAATTCAAATATGCAAAATGCTCTGCAAATGTTTAATTCCAATTTAGAAAGGGCATCAGCACTGGTTATAGGGCTAATTTAAAGTGATATAAGGATCTGTGGGTCAATATCAATAGGGTACTTTTGGTCACTGTCTTGCTGTTAATTCTCCAAAAAAAATGCTTAAATCAATGCATGTATTGACTGCCTACCACAGTCAAGGCATGAAACCTGGCTTTACAATATGCATCAAAAAGCCTCATGTTTCAAACTAATTATAATCTCATTGGGAAGTAACAAGAACGCATGGAAAAGCTAACAAGAAAAAAGTAAACAATAAATACAGGAGAAAATGATTTGCATGGCAGACGTTCAGACAAGGACCACCAACAGAAGTCTTTATGGAAACACAGACTAGACTGGGTCTAGTCCATTTAGACAGGCAGAAGGATGAGACAAATATTTTGGAAAGAAATAAGTATGTAGGCAAAAAAGTGAAAAAAAAAAAGAGAGAAAATGTCAAAAGTTGCTTAGGGCAATAAGGTTTACCTCAAGTGAAGCAGAAAGGTGATAATGGTACATTGAGGCATACAGTGAAATTATAAATAAGAAACTGAGGAATAAGGGTATTTTCCTGCCAGCTTCTGTTAGCTTCCTACACTAACATGTAGCAAAATAATAACAACATAAAATATCCAGTGATAATAACATCTTAATATTGCACAGCATTTTGTTTCAAAGCGATTTCATGTAATATTCACAAACATTTTTTCTCATCTCATAGTGATGCCACTGCATGTCCAATAAATTTAAATGAATTAGTTGCTTAATGGCAGAGCTGTGATTCAAACCTATATCTTTTGCTATGGCATCTTGCAGAGCTGTCAGAGTGAAGATACGGAAGCAGGGAGACAGGCAAGAAGACAGCGCAGACTGCAAAGGATGAGAACTGAATGAACTAATGTGGGCTATACCAAGAGATGGAACATTTAGTTCTCATAACTTTCTGAATGCTATGTTAGATATAGGGAACTCCAAGTGTCTTTTCAAAGAATCAGTATGTCAGTGTGCTCAGCTCTCTTATTCTTTAATTCTCCATTTTAAAGTTTAACTTCCTTATGGTTTCAGTAAACAACCTTATCCACCAGTTCTAATCGGCAGTTCCCATCTGGTCCCCCAGTCCCCTGCTCCATCCTGACTCATCCTGGTTACCTGCCCTGGTCACCTGCTTTGACCTGAGTCACCTCTGGTTACCTGCTCTGACCTGTCCTATAACTGTCCTTCCCACCAAACTACCCACTCTGGCTGGTACCCCTGCTCTTTTTAAAATAGCCAATCAGAATTAGCCTAGATCGTGCAGTCTAACCCTAGCTAACAGGGGAATGACACAGCAGTAGGGGCTACCTGCATCAGGAATAAGAACCCCTGTCCCTCCTTGTCCAGGTGTACACTTGTCATTGCTCCATCTGTGAGATGCATCCATCTATAGAAGTAAATTGCTTTGCTGAGGAAATCTATATTTGAATGCTACTTCTTTTGCAGCACTGAAAATTTACATATAACACTATTTATTAATTGCAGGTAAGTATGAACTACTAATCAGAATTATTGGACATTTACATATGAATCTAATCACAACTATTATTGGTTTTAGGATGGCAAGAATAAATCTATTTTCCTTATTCTTTCATTTTGCCAGAGAGTATTACTTCTGTCTTAAGCTGCAGGAGCTTCAAGAATCAAATCATACTGTAACTATTAGGTTATAATTCCACAGTATTTTAGTATCATCTGTTTTTAACAATCAAATGGTTAACTCAGATTTTTGACAGCTATTTTCCATTGACTGGGTTTTGAAGGTTCTTGCAACCCAATTTTATTACATTGCTTTTAAAAATTCTAGTTAACATCAATTTTATTCAAATACAGTAATCCTTACTTTAGCAGTGAATAATTGACTCCCACCCCCACATACTGTATACACTGTTAGCATAATAGCTTTAAAATGCTTCAGAAATTTTATATAAAATTCTTTTGAAATTTTGCTTAAACTGAAGAATACATCCTTCTCTTCCCTATCATTTTATCTTTTTCTCTCAGGAGAATATTTTCTGTTATGAAAAGGCTCCCAAAATGAAACACTTCTACCCCTTTTCGTCTATCCTAAAGATGGTGATCTACCCCAAAGGCAAGAGAACACAGTGAAAGAACTACAAAATCTCAAAGTCACTGATGTACTGGTATTTTTTTTTTTTTTTTTTAAAGTTCCAACCTTGTTAAACCATACAAAGAGAAGCAATACACACCTTATTTGAGAAATAGGTACTGGTCTCAAGCAAAACTGCATTACCTAGCATTATGATGAATCGAAAGGTTCTAAGTCTGTTTTTGTGGGGTAAAATCCCAATTTTATTCCTTTTTTACTGTTTTGGTTTTCTTTTTTAGAGATTGCTGGTAAACTTGTAAGTACAGTACATGCTATTTAGTAATCAGTGTCTGGCAAGAAAATGATTTTTAGGGACATTTCCTTCCCTCAGTTTAATACTAAAAAATCTTAATGCCATAGAACAATATAAACCTGTGTTTCAAAAAAATATATAAAAGTATATGTTATGTACTTTGGTAAATTACAGGATCATGGTGGGACTGGGATATGCAATATGACTTACTAAATTCTTGCATTCCTGCAGGTATCTCAGGGCCTTCCCTGTGCAAGACTGAGAATCCTCATCCAGTCAAAGAGATTAGCTTTTATGGGTTGTATACAATAAGTGTTTACTGTTTTAAAAATATTCATTGGCCTTGATACTATTTATTTCTCTTTCTAATAAAACATTCACTATTCTTTAGCATCCAGATCAGATTTTAACTTAAGGCTTTCTCTGACCATTCTAGAAAATTATCCCTTACCAAATATATTTAGTGTTTGACTCTCTTTGTTTATACTATTGGGTCTTATATTATTAATTAAATCACCCAAATGTCTTCCTTTGTCAACTCTACAGGAATTTTAAAAATCAAATCATACTGTAACTATCAGCTTATTATTCTAGAGTCCTTTATGATCATTTGTTTCTAACAATCAAAGATTAACTCATAGATTCTTCACAGCTATTTTTCCATTGATTGTGTTTTGAAGGTGTTTGCAACAAAATTTTATTGCAGGGGTTTTCAAAATTCTAGGTTACATCAATTTTATTCAAATAAAATAATCTTCACTTTAGCAGTGAAACACTGACTCCCACTCCCACATGCTTAAAAACATGTAGCAAGCAGAGAACATGTTTTATTTTATTTTGCATTCTTCTTGGCATAGCCTAGAAGGCAGCACTTCTTTTCTAGGAACTGCATCTTTTCTCCCCCATGGTTATAACAAAAACTGCACTATGCCTTACTGAAAACCATGCTCCTTCACTACAGAGGAGAACCCACCACAGTCAAAATGGCAATGTAAAGGACTATATGGCTACAACAAACACCATCCAGCAGATGCCATTCTCTGGGCTAGGGGAAGGTGGAATACATGATGGGAAACAAAGGACAAAGCACAATTCAACAGGTGCTTGGGAATAAAGGTGGCCAAGGCCAATATTAGGCATCCTGGACAACAGCCCTGGGCCAGGAAGACACCATCACACCTCATTTATGCAGGGACATGACTCCTAATTCCAGGAGTTTTTAGACTGGCTCAGAAACTAGGCTGCCTTTTACCACCCCTTCTGGGCCATATTTGACCTTATATATGTTATTTGGCTGCTTCTTTCCTTCTGTCTCCACTTCTCTTAATCTCAGAAAGCCACACTCGGACATGCTGCCTATATAATATCCAGACTAATGCTACCTAGAGTTAAAGGCTTTTTCACATTTTACCACCCATTCTTACACATGTAACACTTTATAATATTTCCAAATAAAGAGATTACATTTATGAAAGAAAAATATAATGCACCCCTTGCTCTTCTTCTTTTCCCTGTAGTAAGTAATAACGCCCTCTTGTTTTCGTGTTTCTTTCTGGTATGGAGTTTCAGAAAGGCGGCACAGGACATAGAACCAGACGTGGATTTGAACCTAGTTCATTACTTCCTAATTAAGTGACCTTGGACAAGGCAATTAACCACAGGGACTCACTCTGCATATTAAAAAAGGGGGAGGTAGAGTGGCTAATAATATTTACCTTGAAGTTTACCTTTTTTTTTTGTTTTTCTTAAAGAAATGAACATGTACTTGCCTAGCGTAGGAACCAACTCATGATAGATGCTTAATAAATGCAATTCAAATTTGAATTTCAAGCTACTGAGTTTATTTTTTGTTTCTTTTTCTTGATCCTTTCCATGCACCATCACACTTATTCTATTTAAATCCAAATCTTTTTAAGAAGCATGATTTTGGATTACTTCCAATTATTATTTCTTTTAAAGTCTATATCTACCAGAGCAGCAGCTGCCAACCCTGTTAAGAATTAAAATGTCCTAGAAAACATTTAAAAAATTAACAGTGCATAAGCCCAATCTCTGACCAAATTTGAATCTGTATCTTTGAGGATAATCACAAAGTGTGCATCAAACAATAACTAAAAAATAAAAATAAAAAAGGCTGGTTAAAAATACTTAAGACCAAATCAAAATAAAACTGCTTGAGAAGAATTATTGCATACATTACATAAGACTGAAAAGGGGATTTAAAAACACTTACCTTTATTATTGTATACATCTAAGTAATTTGGTGCTGAAAAAATTGTAATTAGAGAAGGGAAGCCTGTTGTTTGGCTTTTCCTGTACATGCGGTACCTAAAAAGAACAAATACAGTTAAAACAAAGGTAGTATGGAAAAAAGATAATATCAAATCATAGATTTAGAAATAGAAAAATAAGTCAAGTTCCATGATTCAAAGAGCCTCCAATTATGTAACATTAAATAAAAATTTCTCTCTAAAGTCTGTTATACACAGATGTTAATACATTTCAGGGACGTGGGCATGAAAACATACATTCATATGTAAAATTTCCAAACAGGTATTTTCTAAGTTAGCAAACCTCAAGAGAATGTGGAATTCAGTGGAAAATCATAATTCATTTCCATGTGTTCAACAGAGAGAACAAAGGCTGATTAGTGCACACAGATACTTTGTACCCACCAAAATTTTCAGACGGTTGCCAACTTTTTTGCCATAAAAAGATCAAATAAACTGCGTAAGATATAAAGACTTATCACTAATAACCAGGCCAATTATCTGATAAATCCACAACATTCTGTAAAGATTATATATAAGCATTCTGCCTAGACTAAGTTATTTTCTTCTAAAAGAATATCCTCTTAAATCCATGAATTTTTATAAATTGAAACTGTTTCTATTTTAGAATTTTATTTATTACCAATTTCTGCTGGTGTCTACAGGTCAAAGATTATTGTCTCAGCAGGGTAATATTTAATACATCAGCAATGAAACAGAATATTCACAAGAACTTTTGAAATAAACCAACAATCCAGTTATTAAGACAGAAACAGTTTATAGTGTTAACACTTTAGTTCTCAATTAAAAATACAGGTGACCCTGGCTCATTTACATAAGGATAAAAATGTATCTAATGACTTCTGTGTACCTGATTTTAGGAATATCAGTTTAGAAATACCCCTCCAAAATAACATTTTACCATTTCTTCATTGATCTGTGTCATTTATTTCTGGTAGACTAAACCATGCCTAATATGGTTGAGTTCTAAAAGTAACTCAAAAAGTACCTTTAGAAAGATAAATAGCCACCTACAATTTATAATTTTAAAAACACTTTTGAGTCCTCTCTTTTTGGAACTTGGTCATACTTTATTCCCCAGAAAAAAATGTCCCTTAAAAATCTTTTAAAAATGTTCTAGAAGTATGTGTTCTGATTGTGGGACTGAGCTTTGCTATGGAAAAAAAAATCCATGTGAAAGACAGTTACATTCTTAATCCTAGTACCTTGACTTTATAGACTAAGGGTGACTACGCCTACTTGACAACAAATGAAAACAAAGAAACTGGATGATATAATCTCAATTTTTCCAATGAATCAATCAACTCCTCATTTAAAAAAAAAATACTTGATATTAACTGATGCACTTAACACACCTGCAAGTAAGCCAGTGTTTACGGGTATGTGGTGCAATTAGGATAAATCTGCCAAAAAATGGGCAGTAAGCCAACTGGAACACTCAGCCAAAATAGCATGGTGACACCACTGTCTTGATGAGTGAGAAAAATTATCTGAAGACCTGATTGGTTGGGTATAATAAACAGGTTGCTACAACACAGTGAGGACATAATATTGGATCCATTCACACCTGTTGACTGATTGCTTGAAAACAGCTAATTGTGAAAAGAACTTGGTATCTGCCTTGATTCAGGGGCATCACAGACATGGGCCTCCTTCAAAATGCAGGTATCTATATTCCTAATTTCAGCATACAGGCTATAAAAAGAAGAGCTCCTACTTCTCAGAAAACCTAGACTATCAAGGAATGAGTTTAATTATTCAAAGGCAAACAATACCTTTCAGCAGAGCCTACTGGAAAATGGTATTAGATCTCAAATCTTAAAATTAATTATTCCAGTTTCTCCCAAATGTAGATTTAATACACTATTAAAGGGAAACTCTGATATTTCAGAATTTTCTAAACCTTCAAAATTGTTCTACATCTTAAAAACTTACCTGATGAGACAAAATCAACTTTATGTAATCATTTGCTAGTTAGAACATAAACTTTTCCCTTTTTTTAAGATGTCCCTATTTGTTTCTCTTTAAAATCAGGGATTTTACAGGGATCAGGAATGGTATTTGGGATCAGGAATGATATTCTTTAAAACAAGAGTAAAATGTGCAATATCTATTAAATATTTATGTATAATTCTCATTTACATTGTCAACTAAGACTGAAAAGCAGCTGGTAATTTACTCTCTTATATGACAGTGTAAATGCAACAATTGAGGAGTAAGAGGAGGTGCCCTTACAGTGCATAAGAAATCAAGCTGAAAATGGACTTGTTCAAGCTAAAGATGGAAGAACTGTAAGGGAGACTTTACAATACATCTGCAGCCATTCATTCCCTAGGACTCTTGTCATATTGGTGTCATCCATCGGAAGATAATTTTAAGCTCTAATTCCTTTTGGGATTGAGCCTGGTAAAAGGGAACCTGCAGAGCCTAAGCGAAGTGAAGAAATTCTGGAAAATGGACAATGCATGGTTTTTATAAATGCTCAAAGCTGCTCACCCTGCATCTTGGGCTTCATGGGCTCGAAGTATAGATAACAAGTTATTGTGCTGTAAGAATTCACATACAGCCGGGTAACTGCCAGAGACAAAAAGAAAAGAGAAGCACCTGTAATGAAATCATCAGGAGTAGCACATTTATCTCTAACATCCAGATCTATGTGACTGGATCAAAGATAATCAAACATACATCATTCATGAAACAAGCCTCTTGACTCTAAGGCCAAGTTTATCCTTGTGGCAGAAAAAGCATCTATAGCTGTACTTTTTACATAATCAGAAAGGGGTTGAGGTGTGTGAACACCAGGGGGGGAAATATAAGCTATTACATAATAATATTAGGAAAGTGTCCACTCAGAAATATCGATTTTTACAAGTCTACATTTAAAGACAAAGTGAACAACATAACAGGATAACGAATTTAAAATATAAGTCTCAATTTTCTCAAATAATGCACCATTTATGCCTATGTGCACATGCATGTGTATACAACAGAGATAACTGAGTTTGGAGGCAGAAGGGAATACATATGCTCTTTTCTGCCTCCTATTTTTGTTTCTATATCATATTGAACTATATTTTAGACCTTGAATTAAATCTCCCAGATTTAAGACTCCTCCCATATGGTGGGAAATTACATTATATCTAACATAATGGGTACATTAAGATGATTATATCATTCAAAAGCTAAACAAAATTATGAATATTCACAAGGCTTTAAAATTTGTCCTTTAAATATGACCAGCAGAACTTTAAGACTTAATCTTAACTAAATAAAACATCCAAGATACAACTGTGTTTGCCTTTTAAGAGTCTCAAACTCAAATAACTTCATCATTAATAAAATTTAAATCACAAATTAAACTTGAAAAACCTTTTATAGTCATTATGTCTCTGATCTAAGAATTTTTAATGAAACAAATGTATATTATAAAAATAAATTTTTGACAATCCAAAGCAAGGTACAGAAAACCACTCAAATTGCAAATATTCACTAGAAGTTAAATTATATGCCATTGAAAACTTTCATCAATTATAAAAATAGCACTGCAGGTAAATATTCTAGTAGTATATGTTACTGAAATAATTTATTAGAAAAGATAGTTTCTGTGTTACAAATCCCCTGACCAACAGGGAAAAAATACCATTAAGATAACATATAGTTGGCCAGGTGTGGTGGCTCATGCCTATAACCCAGTACTTTGGGAGGTTGAGGCGGGCAGATCACCTGAGGTGACAAGTTCAGGATCAGCCTGGCCAATGTGGTGAAATCACGTCTCTACCAAAAATACAAAAAATTAGTCAGGCGTGGTGGCGGGAGCCTATAATCCCAGCTACTTGGGAGGCTGAAGCAGGAAAATTGAACCTGGGAGGTGGAGGTTGTAGTGAGTCAAGATAGTGTCACTGCACTCCAGCCTGGTGACAAGAGCGCAATTCTGTCTCAAAAAACAAACAAACCCCCCGATAACATACAGTTATAGAGATATTGACTATAACAAAGATTCTCTAGCAAAAAGGGATCTGAAGCTGGAAACAGTCTCTGTTCATGTGTCCTTGTGTGCGTTTTGAAGAGAAAGAGAGAAAAAGAGGAGATAACCATGCGGCCTCCACTTCCTAGTTGTCCGCAGTCAATTCAGTAAACAAAACACCTAACTGATGAACACGAGTGTATCTTAGAAATTGGAGAGGATGGCCCAGTCTCTGCATGGAAACATGCCAATCTGGTACCCAGGATCAGGTGTTGACCAACATGTGTCTTCAAAGGTTTCTGTTTTCTGCTTAAAGAAAAAGTGAACACATGACCTTTTCAGGTAAGTGTGTGTCAGAGAAAAAAAAAAAAAAAAAAAAAAAAACCACTTTACTTTCAGAGATACTGCTTGGTCTTTCAAAAATAGCAGATTTGTTTGGTATATATTAGCAAAAGAAGACCCAGCCAAGGGATGGCACAGAATAGGTTCTCAATAAATATTCCTTCCTTATCCTTTTTCTTTCTTTGAGGCCTTTACTTAAATTTCTTGTGCCTTTGCAATGCCTCTGTACAGAAGTATACTGTCTCGTTACCACTGTCAGACAGAGGTTGGCTGTGTGCATCTGTCACTTTTTTGCCCTTGGCAAATGACTTGGTTGCTGCTTCTTATTTGACCCTTTGGAACAACTTACACTAGTCTTAAGAAAGAACAATTTTAAAATATTTCTTCACACTAAGTTTGATACTCTTATGTTTTTAAGCTAAGTTTTTCCCATGAAAATCTATACCTGAATTTTTTTTTTTTTTTTTTTTTTTTTTTTTTTTTTTTTTTTTTGAGATGGCGTTTCGCTGGGCTGGATGAAATGGCATGATCTTGGCACATGGCGACCTCCGCCTACCAGGTTCAAGTGATTCTCCTGCCTCAGCCTCCTGGCTAGCTGGGATTACAGGCATGAGCCACCACGCCTGGCTAATTTTGTATTTTTAGTAGAGATGGGTTTCTTCCTGTTGGCCAGGCTGGTCTCAAGCTCGTGGCCTCAGGTGATCTGCCCACCTGGGCTTCCTAATGTGCTGGGATTACAGGAGTGAGCCACTATGCTGGGCCTATACCTGATTTTTAATAGAAATCTGAAAACGATAAAATTATTCAACTAGCAATTTTCTAGGTTAACAGAATTCAGTGAGGAATATTTGCATGGAAGGAATTCATTTTGAAGAAAAGCTAGAAAATTTAAAAAAATATGCAATCAAATACTCAGCTTTTCAAAGAAATACCAACATTTTCCTCAGAAACCCAGAAAATACTTGAGTATGATCTAGATTCCCACTGTTGGTGAACTACCTACTTAGGATATACAGGAGTTTTTAATAGTATTAGAAAAGAGAAACAAAAAACTCTGTAACACTTTATGCTCTTCAATGGAAATGATCACAAACCACAAATGTTTAAGCTGAAAGGCACTGTGTACGTACACAGACACAGACACACACACACACGCGCGCACACACACACACACACACACACACACACAGAGAAAGGGAGAAGGACAGAGAGACTGGCAGGAAAGGCAGATTGCTAACAGCTAAACACCACAGAGATATGAAAAAATCAGTTATTCCTCAGTAATTTATCAGAGGCCTAGTGATGACTGTTTCATTTGTTAGAAGACACTATTAGCTACAGGGAGGTGTGGTATAAGTTCAAGACATGGTTTCCATCCTAAGGGTATTTATTATCTATATGGAAACATAAAACATTGTAAAAGAATTTTTATGAAACTACTGAAGAATAAAACACATCGCAGATAAAATAGAAGTTTTATAGAGACATCATAAAACAAAAAAGAAAGCATCTGAAATTAATCAGAGAAATCTTTTCAAAAATATCTTATATTTTGTTTTATATATAAATGAGAATGATGCAAGCAAACTGGTAGACAGGAAAGGTGTTAGAATTCTGTACAGAAAAGGGGGGGGATGATTGGAAGCTGAGGGAACATGAACAAAGGTAAGGAACGTAGAAAAGAAAAAAAATGTAATAAATGGCAGAAAAACGGGCTTGGCAATAGAGCAAACAGTTACTATTAGATTACTTCTGTTTATTCTCTTATATTTGTTTCTATATCATATTGAACTATATTTTAAAACTTGAATTAAATCTCCCAGATTTAAGATTCTATAGCCATGACATAGCTAGTGGGCATTATTAAATTTTTTTTTAACGCTTTTATGCTGTTATAGATACTTTCCCTGTGCAGTTTTTCCTCCTGGAAAGGTCTTCTTCTGCCAAGTCTTAGTTATCACCTATGAAGCATTCTTTTTAAGGCTAACTCACCTAAGGTGTACACAACTGCTGTATCCACTGTGTTCCCACAATATATGTATCTAACATATCACTTATGTTGTAGTATAAATTATGTTTATACTTCTGTGCTCCAGCAATAGTGAATGCCTTAGGAGAGGAACACTGCTCTTTCATTTTCATTTTCCTATCTTAAAGGCTTAGCAGCAATCTGTCAGTTTACTGGAGCTTACGCTCAATTGCTGACGTAGTCTTAACAGGGGCAGTCAAGCAGGTGAGAGATACAAAGGATTTCTTTCCCTCCTCCCCCCAAGCAGAGGCAGGCAGCCTGCAATCCCCTGCTAAGATAAGGGGAGGAAGCTACAACCTCTTTGGTGTCCTTATTCTCTTCCAGATCTAGTACTAGGGAAGCCCCTGCCCAACTGTTCAATACCTCTTTTGCTTCTTGGGGCCTGGGAATAGGTACTTAGTCCCAGGGTGTCCTGGGGCTACTTGGATGCTGTCAGGCCTACCTTTTCCTAGGACTTGTGGTGTTTCTTTTTTGCCCCAGGGTTCTTGATCTAATTTCATTTTTGCCCAATAGGGATCAAGTCCTAAGAGGCCAACTCTTCCTGCCAGATCTTTTGCAGAATTTAAGTTCTGGAGTGGCAAGCAATTTTTATTTAAGACAAAGTTTTTATTAAAGTAAAACTTCTATACAGAATAAGGTAAAAATCAACTTGATGATCTTTCATAAAGTGAACAGCCTTGGAACCTGCACTCAGATCAAGACACAGAACATTACCAAACCTCAGAAACTCCTCAACTCTCTCTTACTGTCACCTCCTCTCTACGGGTGACCACTATCCTGGCTTATAGCATGACAAATTAGTTTTCTCTGATGTTGAACTCTTATTTCAGTGGAATCACATAGTATATACTGGTCACTAACTGACTTCTTTCACTTGCCATTATACTTAGATCTTCATCCTTGTTATGTACAGTTTTGGTTAGCTCATTCTCATTTGCTGTATTTGGTTGTATAAACGTATTAGAATTTATTATTCGTTCTGCCAAACGGATATCTGAGTTTTCATTTCTTGGCTCTTGATTAATCTTGCACATGTCTTTTGATGCACTTATAGACACATTTCTAAAGGATATAAAATAGGAGTAGAATAGCTTGGTAATATGAACATTTAGTTTTTAACAGATAGTGAAGAAGCTAAATGTAATTTGGGAGTAGAAGTAAAGTAAGGTCAGGTCACCATCCCTGCAGAATTCCCTGTGTTACTTCCCATCATACTTTGATGATGCGCTGCTTTCCTGC